ACGAGCTAGATTTATACAGACAGAGTTGGGAAATCTGATCCCGTAGTTCTGCTTGCAGGTCTGCCACAGATTCCCTACGGCCTTTGCTAGTTACTTAATCTTTCACCTGCTGAGCACAATGAACACTTCGCTGACCTCATCGGTACATGGACACAGTAGTCCCGATGATGCTCCTATACACAAGCTGAAGCACGCCAATCTACTGAAGCCTCCTGATGCAGAACCTGAGTCAGACTGTCAGAGCCATGAGGAAGGGCATCTAAGTGCTTCATGAGATCAGGTGTTACCCTGCCTGTGGCTGCATGCCACAAGTGATCCCCTTCCCTTCTGAACTGCAGCAACCCATCTACAAAACTAACAGCAAAACATACACTCTAAGTATACATCCATAAGTTTACATTCTCTCATTGCACCGGAGAGAGGGGGAGAGGGCAGGGAAGGAAAGAGGAGAAATCCATCAAAAGCATGATGACGAAAGTATTGAATAATTAAAGACAGCATTTATTATTATACCCTTAACTTTCAATGAGGCATCTCCTTGGACAGGAGCAAAATTAAATCCCACCTTCCTGTCCTTCCTATTCATAAATCCCATTCTTTACACAGAACACTGGAAGCTTATTTACTCTTGTGAAAAACAAATATGTTTACTTGACAAAAGACACTAGGAGAGCACATTTGAAGAGCTACCCAGCACTGAGAATCAAAACTCAGCCCTTACTGTTAAAAAGCACCAACACCAACAATGTCATTCTAAAGGCATGGAGAGAGACATGGATAGGTTAATGAACTATGCAAGGAACTGGGAGACAGGACTGCGCACAGAAACCAGAAGTCCTGTCACTAACTTGATAGGTGACATCAGGTAAACAGCTTCACCCCCTCTCAGTCTCAGCTTACACTTTAGTAAGCTGATAATGATAAAATTACCTACCTCACTACATGGGTGGAGAGCGCTTTACTAATTCATGACTACAAAGCAACTTGAGAACTGTGGATATAACGCCAGTATATATATATACACACATAAAAATCAAGATATATATATATATTTATAAAGAAAACACAAGTTGGAAGAAAGATAAAACATGTTACCCAAAAGCTCCAGTCAGCACTCCAGCTATACTGAGCAGGACCCTGCATTTTCTCTGTGCACGAACTAGGAGTCTCCTCTGAATCAGCAAGGAGCTGGCTAATAAGACCATGATCCACTTCATGAACTTCCTATGAACAAAGAAGCAAGGTATGTAATTCCAACAATGGAGGAGAAAAGCAAAATAAGATGGTTGATCCATATAACAAGTACATGGTAAGTAAAACTTGACATGCTAGTTTCACCAAGTTGAGTGGCATGGAAGGACTTCCCACTTACAGCTTTTCCAAATGTTAAATACATTTTTTCCAAGAGTATACTATAGTTAATTATTGCTTTAGTTTTTATGAGTATTTTATTTCCACAGCAGCCACTTAACTTGAACACTCAAGCTGCACAGACAATTAAAGCCGGAATAACATCAACATGGGACATCAACATGTCTCCAGAATCTGTGGGACCTTTCAAAACTTAAGAAAGGTCACGCTGGTGTAGCATTTACTAGCTGACAGATATGTTATTATAATGAGATACATCAAATATTTATACTTGGTTACACTGCAAGTTGTCCGTTTTGTTATATAGCAATAAAAGGGCAACAAGCAGAGACAAACAGTTCCATTCATATCACTTATTACAATGATAAGCACACTTCTACGCTTACACACAATCTCCCTTAGTATCTCTCCCACTTGGGAGGTCAGTTTTACTTTATGAAGAGAAACTGAGCCAAAAAACTCACTTGCCTCAAGCCGCCTAGGAAACTGTACACAACCAGCGCAGGGCCCTAACCAAGCACTAACACCACCTGTATTACTGGACCCATCAATTAGAGATGAAGTTGGGTTTCAGGTCTAAAACGACTCGAAACCAGAGCAATGTTGGCACTCACACAAACGCCCATGGCTAGACAGGGGTGCCAACACCCCGCCAGCAGGCCAGCACTCTTCCGAGGCTCCAGCCAAACCGCAGGCCCCGGCTGGGGGTACGTTCGAGAGAAGGCACCGGGGTGAAGCAGAAAACAGGGACACCCCGGGCTATGTGGGGCGAGAAAAGCTGCTCACTGGCGGTCTTTCACGCAAACCCACGGACTCGCCACTCTTCCACTAGTTGCTGCTCATCACCCCGGCTTCACGCACGGCAGGCAGACCCGATACTGCCGCGGGATCACCCTCCCGACCCACCATATTGATAGAATCCAGCGGCTGCCACAGCAACCCCGAAGCCACCATCCGGCAGTGCGGCTGGGTATCTCCCCAGGGAGCTCTCGGCACCCGGGAGCCCGGACCCTCTTCCCTACGGGGTCCGCAGCAGCCCCGCCGGCCGCCCTCAGCCCCTCCTCACCGGCGGCCCACCGCGCCGGCAGTGCTCGGGCCCGGACAGCAGCCCCGTCCCGCGGCCGTGCCCGCCTCGTCCCAAGAAAGTTTCGGAGCGGTGTGCGCGGGCGGTGGAGCGGAGCGCGGCGGGCCCGCACCTCCGGGCAGCCCCGCGACCTCGGCCCGCCCGTCGCGTCCGCCGGGGAAGAAGCGGGGATCCGCCCCCCCACCCTCTCCGCACCTACCTGCGCAGCCCGCCGGCGGCCAACTCGCCCCGGGGGTCGGTGCGGCGGCGGGCCGTGGCGGGGCAGCTGCTGGGGGTATGGAGCCCGCCGAAGGCGCGGGCGGGGAACGCACAGACCACGGCTCTTACCATGGAGGGGGCGAGAGCGGCACGGCACCCGCTAACTGCCTCAGCGGGGCGCACGGCGGGGCCGTGGCCGCTATTTAAAGGAGCAGGCGCTACTGGGCCGCAGGGCCGAGGCGGGAAGTGGTAGTCAGGCGGGGAGCCGGTACGGGGAGTGGAGAGGTCAGGTCTGCGAGGCCGGCGATTGCCGCCTCGGCTAGCTCCACCAGCCTCTCGGCGGCTTCCACAAGGGTTAATCACGAAGTCCTCGGAGCCGGTGGAAAGTTTGAGGACTCTAGCAGGAAAAACTTCGCCGGCGGCGGGGGGGTCCGGGGAGGCGGCGTTAACTGCTTCCGTCCTGAAGGGAAGACCCGCGCCCCGCCACCCTCCCTTGGCGCACAGCCCCGGCAGTCGTTAAACAACGCCCGGGCCGCGAAAGCCGTTCCTAAACGTGACGAGGGTTCAGCGGAAAACACTGCCGAGAGGCCGCTCCGCGGGGACACCTAGGGGGAGGGAGGGGAAGGGAAGCCTGCCATCAGCCGCTTGCCGCTGTGCTGGGCCGCTATGCCGGCCGGCCTCGCGGGTGCTGGAGGGGTAGCGGGCGGAGGCCTGCCCCAGCCCAGCTGCTGTGCGGGGAGGCTGCCGGCTGAGCCGGGGTGAGGGGAAGTGAAGGAAGTAAATGGTGGGCAGACTTTTTAAAACTGCTCTGGGTTTCAGTGACCACCCAGAGGTTTGGAAGGCTGGGCTCCAGTTAAGTTCGTGCCCCTCAAAACGGGGAACCTGAGCAGAGCAATAATGGCTTGCACATCTGTGCCCTCAAGTCACCTCACAGGAAAATGAAGAACCCTGTAACCCGGAAAGAAATCACCACCTTGCTGGGGGGGCTGGCTGGTAGGCAATGAACGTGGATACATGGATGGACTGATGGACGGGTGGACGGACGGGTGGATGGACGGATGGATGTCTGTCCAAGGGAAGGAGAAGTACAGCAGCCTGGCATGGGAGGGCTGTTTCTTCCAGCTGTCCTTTTTCTCACAAAACTTCCCCAGAAAGTGGGTCGAGGCTTTCCCTGAAGGCACATCTCTGGGCCATGTGATATCTGCCCACTGATACATTAGCAAAAGTCCCTGTGGCTGACATTCCTCCCCGCAGCTGCAGGCCCAGACAGGACAGCTTTGTGGTGAGATGGCTCTGGCTGGAGGCCAGGTGCCCACTGAACCTGCTCTGTCGCTCCCCCTTCTAAGCTGGACAGAGGAGAGAAAATACAACAAAAGAGTCATAGGTCCAGATAAGCACAGGGAGAGGTCACTCACCAATCACTGTCATGGGCAAAACAGACTTGACTTGCAGAAATTAGTTTAATTTATTACCAATTGAGTCAGAGTAGGGTAATGAGAAATAAAGCTAAATATTAAAAACATCTTCTCCCATCCCTCCCTTCTTCCCAGGTTCAACTTCACTCCCAGTTCTCTTCCTTCTCCCCACCCTGCCAGCAGCACAGAGGGACACCACTGCCAAATGCGAGTCTCCAAAATTTACAGGAAAATGTGAAAAAGCATGTCTGGTTTATTTCATTTTTGTTGCTTGCTGTCTTGACTTCGACCTCTGAAACTCAATTTTTTAAGCTTTTCTCAACAACATTCAGGGGACCAGTTTACTTTTCTTTTTGTCCAAAAATTGTGATTCTGCCTGAATCATGTTGGGTTATCCAAGTGGAAAAAGCTTCATGTTCAACTGACGGCTGCCAGCAAGACTAAAACCCCTTTGTATTCCCTCAGTTGAAAGCTGGCTGACCTGACAGTTGTGCTCAAGCATGTCCTATTTGATGGAGGATTCATGAGAGAATTGCTGTTACAGGCTGACATGAACAGAAACAGCATTTGTGGGTAGTGTGTCCATCACAACACACTTGAGGGCTTTTTAGAAACACACCAAATACTTAGGTTTGAATCAGACACTGTTTGGAATCTTTTGGTCCAGTTCCATTTTCCCACGCTGTCTTCTCTGACATACAGTCATGGCCAGTACTCTAAGCCAGTAAATCAGCCCTAGTTCCTCTTGATCTGCCAGGTGCCTTTGGCTCTGCTGGTTATTCCCTCCTCAAACTCTTGATTGGTTTTGACTCTTCTAACTTCTTCCTTTTGTAGATATTTTGGGTTTGCTCACTAACAGTTTGGCAGTACTTCCTTCGGAACACCCTCACAATCTACCTTCCATCTTCCTACTGAAGTGCTATGTTGTTTTGCACTTGGTTCCAGTTCCCTTCTTATGTATAGTTTACTTTGGAGTGATTCCTGCCTGGTAATCCCAGGTCTTCTGGCTCTCCCAACCCATTTCAGAGAATAAATACTTGCCTTTTAGGTTCTTTTTAGCCTATCTTGCTTTTGCCGATACAAGTGTTACCACACCAAAGCTAGAGCAACAAATAGTCACTCAAGGAATGGGTTGTTCCTTTTGATGTTCGGTCAGCAGAGTTTTGCAAGTCAGATGTGGGATTTTTTGAAACAGTTACTGAGAAGCATTCACATGCAAAGATGAAGATGACAGAATTCATTAAAAGCATATTCAAGAAAGCTGCATGCCAGTAGCATGATGGCAGAGTTCCTTATGGTGTGGTGGGGACATTTTTTGGTGTCCTTTTTGATTTCAAGTGCAAAGAAAAGCAGGAATACTCCTGCCTATCTATCTCAGCTGAATTGTGCTTTGTATGTGTTTGAACAGATATGGAATTGAGTCTCTACTGGATACCCAAGTACAATTCCATTATCTGAATAGTCTTAAAGATAAATAGAATGGTTAGATAAGGTGTGCCATAATCCCTGACCCTGCAGCTGAGGGAAGTGGTGTAAGTGGTGTCAGCCAGCCGGCAAGAATGTCACATGCTTGGTACAGCAGTGGCACTGCTGGCGGGGATGGATGCTGCAGGTCAGGGTTTGGGGCTGCTGCAGCTCTTCCCACAAAGCAGTGCAGTGTGTGTACCTTTCTGTGAACCTAGACTCTGTTCCAGAGCACATCTGCTAGTTTTGCAAACAGGCCGTCTGCTGTAGCAGTTTTCCTCTCCAGCCTCCTTTACTTAAATGGAGTATAAGCTCTTTGTCTTCTTACCTCAACTATGGAGGGGTTCAGCAGAAGAGAGGTCTTCTTTTGAGTATCTGGATATTCTGTACTCAGCCCACAGTTGCAGTATATACAAAGCCAAAGTGGAAAACAATGTTATTATCTTCCCTCTGCTTTCAGAGCATTTTCAGCATCTTCTCAGGGAGAGATCAGAACAGCCCCCGGGAAGTCATTGTTGTCACTTCAAAAGTGGCTGTCATCCAGAGCAGAGCACTGTGAGCTCAAAGCTGTGGTAACTTTAGTAAGTGTGACATTCACAGGGCAGAATGTGAGGTCTTGTTGCAATAGCATACACATATTGTTTTGCCCGTGCTATCAGAGGGAGAGACGGTGAGGCTATATACTTCAGCAGCTATGAGCCAGAACATTGGGAAACTCTATAGATCTGCAGCATCTTCATTCCTCTTCTTCTTGCTGGTTGGTGAGTACTAAACCACCTTCCTTAATTAGAAGAAATACAGCCTACTTCTACAGTTTGGCTTGAGAGGTTCTCTTCTTTTTTCAAAACTCAACTTTCCACTGAAGGCTTCTTCAGGATGCAGGAAAACAATACCTAGTGTTGTGCAGTGCATTAAAACATACTTTGCCTTATGGATGCATTCCTGATTAGCTAATAGAAATGTTCAGAAAGAGTATGTCTTTCTCAAGATGTGTATAATCATCAGTAGAAAACTTATTTTTGTTTTAGTTTTCTGATGTATTAGCAACTGGTTATTGCCACAATACATTTGCAAAAGCCAACCTCAGCCCAGGGCAAAAGTCATGTAAATTAAAATGAGCAATGTGCAGTCATTGATCACTTAATCTTAGATACCTGGGAGCTGGATGCAGCTTGTAAAGCACCTCCATGGCACCAGCAGAGTGTGAAGTTGAGCTCTAAAGCCAACAAAACCATTTCAAAGATGGTCATTCCAGAATGAGATTATTTGTTTCTGGGTTGGAAATCGAGCCCTCTTTGCCCTCAACCTCTCCTTCATCTATTGAGTGTGAGCAAAGGAGAGGAGGCTCTACTAGAGAGGTAAAATTTTGCACTGCCCTCCAGCCACCATTCTGCTTCCCTGATGGTGGCAGCTTGCAGGGCTGCTCAGGAGTACTCCAGGCACCAAAAAGTAAATTAGAGGCGTCAGGGCTGGAAGAGAGTGCAGGTGTATTTTATTCTTTCCTGTTGTCACCCCACCTCCTGTAGCTTCCCTTATGCATTTCTCATTCACAGCCAGTGATATGGCCTTACATGGGGAAGTATCAACCTGCAGATTCTATAAAGGGGAGGCTAATGGCTTAGTAGGTGCCTTATTAGTACTGCCAAATGTGGAGCACATTGTCACATTACATGAAGTCCCAGAGAGCTTTCTCCCCTCGTGGTTGAAAACTGGCCATGAGCAACCAATGTCATATGACGGTGACCTATTAGATCATCCAATCAGTTTTCAGGTGAAGACAAGGCCATCCATGCTGTATTTCTCTGTCTATCTCAACTGCTTTCACCAAAAAGCCTTGAATTCCTTTCCTTCGGGGGTTGAGCCCTACAACCCACATGACTGAGGACCCACACATCACTGCTAATGAAACACTTGACTTAAAAAAAGCTTTGAAGCAAAGTCAACAAGGCATTTGGCATGCTATGCTCCCAGATGCCAGTATGATAAGGGCATTGTGTATTTGAATACCACTGAACTATTATGTTCCAGTTATGCAACCTTTCAAAAGAAAAAGAAAGAAAGACAGAAACAAAGAAAAATAGAGTCTGTGCTGTGATCTTCTCAGTGAAACCCCCAAACAGAGCTGGGAAAAAATAATACAGCCTACTCCTCTTGCGTTTTGATTTTCCTAATTAGCTTTAAGTTACATGCTTTGTATTGAATCAAAGATGTGGGATAACAGATGATAAGGCCAATTTTTCATGACAGGAGGTGCAAATAAAACTCATGATGAACAGAGACAACATCAAAGCACATTGTTTCTGCCCAGTTATGTTCTCTGTGCCACTAAGTGACTGTGTAAAAATGATAACTTTTACATCACTAAAAGGAATAAAAAATCATAATTGTGTTGCAGGGACTGTATATGGTAAGGCTGGAATATTTGTAGTGGACAAGAAATTCTGTGGCCATTCCTTGAAAACAAGGTAGCAGTAGCACATCTGCTTTAGCTGAAGCAGCAGTATTCAGTTAATGATAATGGTTAACAAACAGAGATTTTAAAAGAGTACTTATGACAAAACTGCCCAAATTCACTCCAACAAACAACCAAATCCGTCACATGAGAATATTTGGTGCACAAAGATTGTAGTATGTCAAGCTACCTTCAGCTTTGTCGAGTATTTCAACTGGACTCTATACATCATCAAAGTACCTTGTCAAGATACTTCCACTTTATGACTGCTGCATTGATACAGTTATCTAAATGGAAAGGGAAAATCTGGACCTCACATTCCCCCAGAAAGATCCAATGGGCTTATTGGTAAAGTTATGTGTGATCACGATAATATCTCATCCACTATCTTTAATAAGGACTACTTGTTTTAAGGGACTGGATCCAAAACTGCAATAATACTTGGGTACCTAAATCACAGGCATCCAGTTCCCATGGATCAGTCTTCCAGTTACAAGGCCAAGATTTTCACTTCGAGGTAGAAGCACGGAGCACCAGACAGCTCTGAAGATTTTTCACATGCTTTGCTGATGCCTAGTTTCATAGACAGCTTGTATGTTCTATGTTTTCACATCTATGAGTTATCTCATCTGATATTTAAACTGTAAGCTCTATACCCCATCCTTTCATAAGACACCTAGAACAACAGGGCCCTGCTGGCTGACATTGATTCTCAGTGCTACTCCCATAAGAGTCATAAATAACAATAACTATGGATACAACTGTGATTTTGTGTACAAGCATGCCTGGAGGAGCCATGAAAATAGCTCTCAAACCAATCATCAAGGCATTTGGTTTTCCATTGCCTCAGATATTTGTCCCTGAGCATAGAAGAATATTGTCATTGTGAAGCTTTACCAGACCCAGACAATAGCTTTCATATCCTTTGGATGGCAATGAAAGACTCAAGACAATGGAAAATCAAGTTCCACACTGTGGAATGGTCTGCAGTCCTTGGGACATCCAACTAGGGTGAAGGAGGACTATTTCACTTGAAGAAAATAAAACAGCAGGAGAAACTTTTCCAAAAATTGGTCTGAACACTTTTCTTAGAGACAGCTGTTGGCTTATTTTCAAGAGTTTGTTTTTCCCTCTTTTTGAGACAGCAACTATTCCCCTCATCTTCTGAGCCCAGGCTTGTTTCCAGAAATGAGATCTACTCACAGTACTCTTATCTCGAGGCTGTTTGATACTATGATTAGAAGCTGAGTAAGAGAAGGCAGGTTTAAATCTGTATACAGGCATGTTGTCCATATTTTTCTAACCCAGGTTAGCAGGACAATGTAGTCCTTTCACAAAAGATAGATATCACCCTCAGTATCAGTACTTGCAGGATGTTAAGGTGCCATCCCCCAAGTCGCTGATAGGATCTGCTGGGCATTCGGTTTCTGGCAATGGAAATTCTGCCATCAATTTCAAGATTTCCCATCCTGAAACTGGAAGTATGTGCCAAAACGTCTGAGACACTCACATTACATTTTGGGATGCAGGCAGCCGCATTAAGATATGCATGTATTCACTGTACTTGTCGGAACAAAGCTGCCTGTGTATAAGCGTATGTACATTTTTTTGCTTTGCCTCAAAAGCAGTTGAAGCAGGAACATTAGGCCCCAAGACCTATTGGGGTGGGAAGAAAGAAATTAGTGTTCTATGGGTTCTAAATGTCACCCAAAGCCATTGGACAATGGCATTACTCCTCCTCTAGTATGGCAGTAGAAAGGAACTGAGGATCAAAAAAAGACCTATCTTTACACATTAATATAATCTGAGCAGGAACTAGGAAGAAAATGCCTATCATCCTAATAGTGACTACCCTCAAGTCCTAATTCCAGGAACCATTCTTTGTGCTGGTTAGGATTCAGGAGCAGCTGGAAGGTTTGTCATGATATCACCCTCAACCTTCCTCTTCTTTCTTTTTCCTGGTGCAGATATCAGTGTCAGTGGAACTGCAAGCAAGGAGAATGCAGCTGTAACTGGCATTACAGCACAGCCATCATCGTTGACAACACCTGAGCCATGGCACCTTTTGGTGACTCAAACACCAGCCAAGGAAAAAGCCAAAGAGGGTGAAACTGTGGTCTTAAATTGCCACTTTAACAGTCCACAGCATCTCTCCCTGACTGACCTGATGGTGAAGTGGTACAAAGAAGATGAAAAGGGGCAGATGGACCTGCTAGAAAACAATGTGACTGTCTTGACAAATAACTCCAGGTTTTTCATGAGCGGAGACTTGTCCCAAGGGGATGCCTCCCTGGTGATCCTCAATGTGACAATCAGTGACCATGGTATTTATTTCTGTGAGGTTACACTTCCAGACAGGACGGTGGTGACAGGAGATGGGACAAAGCTCAGGATCAGGAGAGCTCTGGGTAATATTTGATGTTATTTACTTCTTTTTTCTTCTTTCTTCTCCAGAGATGGTCTACACACATGCAAAAAGAAAGAGGTTGGCCTGCTTGGTCTCTACCTGTTAGGGCTTTGTATCATGAAGTGCAATTGCTCCATAGCATTTCTCATTATTTTCGTTAAGCCAGCTAATTTTGATTGGCTTGCCTCTGTAAGCAGTCACATGGGTATTATTATAAGGAAGTGCATTTACAACCAAAAGAGAAGGAATAGTTTTATCACTAAAATCAGTGTTAGTGCCAAGAATGAAACAGCCAGACAAGTTCTCTTATACTCACATCTCTGTTTAGCAGAACCTCCATGAGTGACAGGTGTCAAGATACTGTCTTAGAAAACAGTTCCAAACTCCTTTTTTTGGATATAATTTCTCTCCAACCCACAAACTTGCATATTCATTCCTTATCTCTGCAGCAGCATCTTTTGCCATAGCATCTAGCTGTTAAGGGAGATTGCAAGAGAGATGGGCTGTCCTATCTAAATCCCCAGAAAGTGTAGCAGTTTCTTAAATTGGAATAAAATAAAAATTGAGCTCCATAGTCCGATACACTCTCTTCCATGTAGAAGTCCATGATTTCATGTTAGACAAGACATAGACATAATTGATATCACCATAAGTAGCTTCCTCTGCAGCCACTGCAGAAAACATGCTGGCTGCATTGCATATACTTGTCTGGACAACATCTGTTGTTACTCTCTCTACCTTCCTTCTCCACCAGGCTTGTTTGGTATAGAAGAATCCATTGGAACAATAATTGGGGTTGTGGCAGCTGGTGTTGGAGGAATAATGGTTCTGATCATTATTTTAACCCCCCAGCTGAAGAGGTGTGTCCTCTGCATGAGACAAGGCTCTCACCAAGGTAAGAAACACAAGCCAAAGCCTGGAATACCTTGCCAGAAAGAACCCAATCGTCTGTTTCCAAAGGTACCTGTTTTTTTTGAACTTAAGCAGGAATTAGCCATTCACTTACTTCTGGTCAGACACAGTACCTGGTTCAGGAAATAAGCAACGTGGATGAAACTCTAACAGGGCTGGCTCTGTATTCTCTTTTTCAAATAGTTCTTTGTTTATGTAGGGTAGAGCTTCATGCATGGGCCTAATGAGTTCCTATAAACAAAACAATAGGATTTTATTTAATTTCCACTTCAGCAGAGTTGTTTGATGAAATGCTACTGCTTCTTTTAATGAAGTCCTGGGTCCCCTTCACTTCTTCTAGGTTCATGCTGAAGGATGGTTCTTCTTCCCACCAACTATGTGCTTACATCTGTATTCTTGTAATGCTTTGCATACAGAAAGCCTGTGATGGCCTAAGTGTGTGTTTGAGGTGTGGTTTGGAAAGCCTAGTAATATCTTTTATTAGATCAGCTGATCAGGTTGGCAAAACTAGACATTTCCATGCCTAGATATGAGCCAAATAAATGACTCGAGAAGAAACTGATGAACCTGAAAGCTGGCCTGTTTTTTCCACCTCTGTCAGCTGGCCCAATTAGAGTAGACTGACACTGAAGGCTGGATTTTGAAACGAGCCTAGTTCCCATTTTGCACAACCAGGATGTGGTCTGCGTTTCAGACGGAGCCCAGCTGACTTTCTGCTTTCAGTGGTGAGCTGTGTGGTTTGTACCTCTTACCCCAGCACCCAAAAATCTTCCTCGTCCTGCTCAGAAAGGAAATCCCTGGAGGGAAAGATGCTCTCGCCACTTACTGTGCCGCTGCCGCCACCTGATGGCCAGCGTGGTGGAGACAGGGGCACGGTCTTCCAGCCCTTGCCGAGACACGCACCCACACCCCGTGGCTGCTGCTGTCCACACAGCATCATCCCTTTGCAAACCCTCTGCAGGAACAGTGTCACAACTTCCTTACTTGCCAGGAAACCTTGGAAGAGTTTATTGTGTTGTATTAACTCTGTATCACTCACTCTCCTTCTTGCTCCATGTAGCTTGAGGTGCAGCTTTACAAGAGTCACTGGAAGATGCAAAACCTGCAGGTGGAACAACTTCTGACACCCCAAAAATGGAGCTCTAGATGGAATAAAAGCCTTTACCTCAATACATGTTGTCTTTGGCATTTTATTTTTGTTAGTCTGTTTCTTTTTCCTGCGGCTTTTCAGACACAGTGGCATATTCAGCATCCTCCTGCAGCCAGGAGCAAAACAGCCTTTTGTGAAGACATTTGTATTATTGACTGCCAAAACTCACTTAGTTTGACCTCATACCTCTGAATTTAGGCTCTGATGAGGTACATTGCATCTTTCCCTGCCATTGCTTTTTATTTTAAAGGTAGTATTGAAGTTTGTTAGCTGTGCTTCAGAAGAGACGGAAGGAGCCTGACCTACCCAAACCCCACAGCTCCCCAGCTGCTAACACCTACCCAGAAAATCAAATGTGTTGCTTCTGGGAGTGCAACCGTGACTCCTATCTGTCTCCACTTCCCAATATAGAGGCTCTTGTCCTGTTGGCTTGATAGAATCAAAGAATGGTTAGGATTGGTAGTTCCAATCCCCCTGGATGGGCAGGGACACCACACTAGATCAGATTGCTCAAGGCCTCATCCAAACTGGCCTTGAACACTACCAGGAATGAGTCAACCACAGCTACTCCGGACAGCCTGTTCTAGTGTGTCACCACCCTCACAGTAAAGAATTTCTTCCTAATATCCAGTAGCCCCCTTTGAGATACTGTAAGGCTGCTATGAGGTCTCCACGCAGCCTTCTCTTCTCCAGGCTGAACAGCCCCAACTCTCTCAGCCTGTCTTCATACAGGAGGTGCTCCAGCCCCCTTATTTTCCTTGTGGCCCTCCTCTGGACTTGCTCCAGCAGTTCCATGTCCTTCTTATGTACAGGACACCAGAACTATGCACAATACTCCAAGTGGGGTCTCATGAGCCAGAGGCTTGCTCCAGCTTACAGGTTTGTACCAAAAAGGCAAAGGTGGCCAACTTGAATATAGCTACCAGGGGCTGAAAGAATAGGATTTTGTTTTACTTTTGCCAGAAGGAAACTTAGTGTTTCAGTATAAGCCTGTAATGCCCTTAAAATGAGTGATGAAAGATTTGTTTGATGTGACTAATGTTCTCCACTGTCCCCATTTCCTGACAAGAAAATATTTGATTCCCAGGTGATCAGTAACCAGGGGGTATGTCAATATAGGAGAGCACCTCCTGTATGTATAGGAGAGCACCATATCAGCTCTGAAGCATGTGTACTGGGTAGGGAATAAGTTCTTTTGCAAAGTATGGGTGTGCCTGCTAGCAAGTAGAAGTCAGAAACCTTTGCTGGCTTTGCAACAGCAGTAGGCCAGCGTAACTCTGCTTACCTCTGAACACATCTCAGAAGGGTCCCCAGTGCTGTGAGGCAGGAACATGAGGGATAAGACAGCTGGCTATATAAATTAAGAAAAACGCACACACACCATGCAAGAAAGGATGGAGCCCTGCCCTGGGCCAGACTCTGCTTTTCCTTCTGGTGGGAAGCAAAATCCCTTCAAGCAAAAATAAAGAATAAGGAGGCTTCCTCCCTCTTTGATGTCCCCTCTTCTGCAGGTCCAGGAAAATTAAGTGGGTCACTCTGCTTCCATTTTGGCATGCCGCAGGACTTCTGAGGCCAGTGTATCTTTCCCAGAGATGGTTTGTTTCTTTGTTGGTTTGTTTTAACAAGACAGCCCAGCAGAAATCTCTACGTATTTTCCAGATCATGTCTGTGGGAGGCAGGTCAGGCAATGTGAAAGGACAAAAAAGCCATTTGGTGATGGGTAATGCGTTCCCACTATGCTGCAGACCAGACCCTCTGTTTCTGGGAAGGCCATGATCAGAGCAGGATCTTATATTTCAGCATGTATGTTACCCTGTTACTCCTCCCCATAAACCTTGTCCTGACAGAAATTCTCTCACACCATTGTTATCCCTGGTAAAAAAGGTAAAATTTTATTCCAGTGCCTTCAGATTCAAAGGGTTATAAGAAAGGTCCTAAAAAAACCTACTCTGGCCCCCCATATCCAAAATGGCAGGTGGGATGAGTCTGTCCACATAAAAAGTCTGGCCAGAGGACAAAGTGTGGGTTGTATGGGGCTGCTCCCCAACACTTGGCTGCCTCTTGGTCACATAGGCACACCATTTTTTCACACCGATCTGTCAGGTTATCTGCAAAAGGAAATGTGAGTGAAGAATGAGGGATTCTGGATGAAGGCAAGAAACAGTTTCAGGAGGAGCTATTCCATAATAAAGCAGCTCTTAGGGAGCAGAGGCTGTGGGAGCAGGAGGAGAGAAGGACCAACAAGTTGTATGTGTGTAGATCTGGCCCTCCCCTGTGCTGTCTCTGTTGATAGGTCTGACCCTAACTGTCACCAAGAGCACCAGAAAGTAGCCCCTAAACATAAACTGGCAATGCCTATACAAATCTGCCCTGCTCAGAGCACTCCCCACTTCTAGAGCTGTGTGAACAATGGGGGCTTAGTTCAGTGGTGGAAGCTAAAAATTATTTTAGCTTAGCCTGAGCTAAAAGTATTCCATTTCCCTCCAGTCGGTCCATTTCCCTGCTAACTCCTCCCTTTGCAAACCAGACCAATTTCAAAGGAAAAACAATGCTGCTGTGAGAGGAGCAATCTCCCACAGGGACATTTGGAAACTGAGGGTGTAAAAGCACCCACCAGATATCCTTCACTCATGCTCTGTGAGTTGCTCTTATATCTCTTTTGTCTGAATGGGATCAGGTACTATACCTTCACAGCCCAGAAAAACCTGCTGTGCGGTAGCCTGGGGTAGGAAATTTGCCTTCTGAACACATCTCTAGAGTTCCTTCCCATGGGGGATGTCAGGAGAAGTGAAGCTTGATGAGGGCTTGTGGAGAACAGTTAATGGATGTTTCTCAGGCCTTGTCTGGACATCAGTCTAAGGAATTAATGGTCTTTGTTTAACTAATGGTCATTAACCAGGCTGGAGCAACTGCAGCCCGGTGCACTTTTATGGGACAGACATTGCACGTGTCTGGTGGGCTCAATAGTACATCTCACATGTGCAGTGAGGGTTGTTCCTTCACAAGAAAAAGAATTCTTTTTTTCCATATAAAAAGTAGCTAGCAGACAATACTGGTTAGCTATGGAAATATGGGTAAGTGGGAGGGAGAGGAGTTATATATTAAAATATTAGCCAGCACTTAGCCATTCTTTAGCCAGGACTTTGTACTTAATAGGTTGTTCTGGCACTTGGAAAAGAGCAACTGCAGATACGCTGTGCCCTGTCCCATACCTGCTACCAGATTTTTAGCTGCTGGAGAGGCTGAAGACTGCACCAGTAGCCTGTGGAGTTCTGATAAAGACGAACAGACTTTTAATGTTCAAAAAGCAGCCTGGGTCGAATGGGAACAAGTTTTACTCTCACATGTTTCTTCTCAACCTTTCAAAGTGTTCCACAATGGATTTTACCACCAGGAACTTTTTGGAGGCTTAGAAACAGAAGTGAAAAATTCTAAGACTCAAGTCATCTGGTGTATGTCAAAACAAACTGGTGTGAGCCACTGATGAGCTGTGCCTGTGCAATTTAAGACCTCGGCTGGGTACCAGCTGTAGAGCTGAGCACAGCCTACACTTGCTGTATGCCTGAAGATCTCAAGAGCACTTGATTCTGCAAGCCTCAAAATGCCCGCTGAAGCCCCAGGGTTTAGGCTGGAGGCCCACATGAGGCATGCACACAGGCTGGCACCCTCCTTCACCTGTCTTGCATCCACGTGTAATAGCACAGCTCTTCTCCAGCAGTACACAGTGGTAAGTAAAAGAGTGAACAGGCCTGCTGGAAGGAGGGCCAGAACTGCCATGGGAAGACCACCCCTGCAGACCATCACACGGCTATGGGGGGAGGTCAGTGAGGAGCAGGCATACTTAATGGGAATGAGTGCAGAGCCTCCGGAGAAGCATCTGCATCCCTGCCACACTGAGATGGCTGATGTGTGCGCATCACGGCCCCAACTCCCACTCCTCCACCTCAGGAGGACTCAGGTTACCTGGAATGGTGGTGCTGGAGCTCCAGCCTTCCTACAGCTCCAGCTGGGGACTGTTGGCAAGCCTAGCGATCCAGGCAAGGGATGGGCAGAGAGCTTGCAGGAGAACAGATGCTGCCTAAAGCGGCTTTGAAACCAGCTCACCATACAACAGACCTACCCCTGAGGCCCACAGAGCTCTTAGGTCAGCCTAGTGCCTGCCAAGGAGGGAACGAAGCGAACCCGAAACGAGCAAGCATTTCCTTACCACACTGCACAGCGTTCTGCTCACATGCCCACTGGTAGCGCTGCACCTTGGGGCTGCAGCCTTCCTTCTCTGCCTTGTCATAGCAGCAGTCATGCCTGTGGCAGCACCTGTGGGAGAATAAAAGGTCATCCTTGGGCATCCTCCTGCATGATTTGCTCAGGGGCGTTTGCACGTACTCAGGAGTGCTGCAGTCACACACAGCTCACAACATCAGCGTTTGCCCCACCTGGTCAGTAAATGATCTGTTGATGAACCAGCATCCTGTCACCCCTGTGAAAGTCTACGTGGCTCAGGAGCTCATTAATGCCATATTTGCTCCTATGACAACCGTGCTTCTTCCTCTGAGCTTTTGTGCTCAGAAGGGCAAGTGTGGTCAATACATGCTAATCTCACTGGAAGGGACCTGGTATGTTCCCATGAAGAGTGTGATCGTGGCTCACTGGCTCAGGCTCAGACTCCATCCCAGGATTTGGAGTCAGGATGTGTTTTGTAACCTCAGCATCCCCAGGCAACTTCATCTCTCCAGTTCACGTGGGCCTGCAGCCTTTGATCTATCCAGTTTCTGAGGGCTGGCTACAAACGCATCAGCCTCAATGCTGGAATTCATATCAGTTAACGTCAGATGCCTAAATGTAAACATCCACAGCTAAGGCACCGAACTGTACTCCGTTTATGCATGTCTGGAGGGCAGTTCATATTACTATACTGCAGAGAGCTGCCACACGTGAAAACCGTTGCATTTGCAAGTGCAATTGCATTTCATTGACCATAGAGGGGGCTGAGGGTGACTAGCTCAGTCTGACCTATAGACTGAGATGCTTCGCACTGTCAAGTACTTAAGAATTTATAGACCATTTGACCCCGCTTGAATTTTATTCTGGTAATTTAGGGGCTCAAAATACACCAAGAAAATATTCAGCAGCTATAGATTCCACTGCCGAATAACAAAGGTTGCTTCAATGGTGCAAGCTCAGAGGCTGGAGCCAGAGAGGAGCAATCTCCTGCATTTCCAGAAGCTTGTCCCTGCAAGAGCACTGGGACTTCACAGAGAAACTGCTCTACTGACTGGGAATCATCGTGGCAGGCTGATCTTAGGGGTAAATGAAGAGCAGACAGCTTTCAGAGAAGCTCTTAAGTCTTGATGTTCATCTTTCAAGAGATTGACGAGGTGGCCCAAAGGGAGCATAGCTGTGCTGGCTCCCCATAGATTACCAAATCCATCTGAAAACCTTGACTGTCGTCTTCAAGACCTGAGGCCAACATACCTGAAAAGTCAGTAAAAGTCTGGGATCCATCATTGTGTCCCTCTGGAAAAGTGGGACAACCCTGCAAGGAGGGCAAGGTCCCTTGTGCAGGAACCAGGGCTTCTCTGGAGACCCATCAGGAGCTGCTCAGTACCTTACCCGAGTGCTCAGGACCATCACAGACTTCATCATTTGGCTGCAGGATTTTTTCCTCTCAGAAACTTGTTTACAGCTATGAGGCTAGTGAGCAGTGTGAGGTGATAAAGCCCAGGGGAAAACATAAAACTATTTTGAAGTGCACCAACCACTGATGCAAATTCTAATAAAATCACTGGAACAAGATCAGGGGAATCATGTGAAAGGGACAACAGAATCAGACCAGTCGGCTCCAATTCAACCTTCATTCAAGCTGCTGTGATTATGCACAGGCTGAATTTAGTCCAGTGTGCTTTCCTTGCTGAATGGGCTCCTAGTTTAGTAGCTGGAAGTAGCAATTTCATCCCACAGAGGAGTCTCCCAACAAAATGCCTTTTTTCTCTCAGCTAGTGAAGATGAAACCTGTGTGATGACTATGTCCAGACTACTCACTGCATTGTGAAACCTAGAAATGTAGGTTATCAGGAGCAGACTAGTATCTCCTTCCATGCCAGCCCCTCAAAGGACTTCAGAATGGGACTCAGACCTGTGGGATATATGTATCTAGATGCTTTCCCATGAGGAGTTACAGCAACTGCTGTAATTGAGAAAACTTTATTCAGCCCATAGAACCAGTTCTGCTGGATAAGATGGCAGTAAGAGGCTGTGGCTCAGATCTTTGTTGGTCCCGTAACACCTCAATCCTGGGCTTGTTCTGAAGAGGTTAGAGGTGAAAAGCCAAAGGAGAGAAGAATTTGCAGCCTTGTGGACAGATTGAAAGCCTCAGCATTCTCCAATGTTTGAGTCCCTATACAGTGTGTCATACGATATGACAGGGATGGACTACAGCAGTGAACTACGACTGAGGCTTGTGTCATTTGGAGGAGTTGCTGTAGCCCAGGGCATCCTGGCTAACATACCTGAACCAGCAGCACAGTCTCATCCATTCTCAGGGAGACGACAGATGGCAGAGCAGGCCCATCATCAGTGTCGCATATATGGGACACAGAGCACATGAGGCCGTGGTGGAGAGCCACAGATTGGGCTGAGCTGAGGCAGAGCTGTAGAAATTGTAGGGTTTGTGAGGTCTGGGGAGTGAATCAGTCAAGTTGGTAAAGTTGGTGTCAGTGATGGAGGAGTGTGGGGAGGAGGAACAACCTGAAGGTAGACAGGCAAAGGAAGGCGTTAGGAGCCTGTGTGCCAAGGGAATGAAAGTGCTCTTCATGGAGAGACAGAGGGAATTAACAGAAAAAGAGGTACGAGAAGTGAGGACAAGTCTTGGAGAGGGCAAAAGATGGTCTGTGAATCAGGCAAGGACAAGCAAATGAGCACTAGAGAGATGTGCTAGCTAACTGTTGCTCCGTATCCGGCTTGGCAGAATCAGTGGGTTGCATAAATTCTGCAGGACCATTCTGCTTCCCATCAGACCAGTTCCTCCTGATGATACCCATAACTGCAGCAGGGTGACATGTGGCTCACATCAACACAAAGTGAGAAGACTTTGGCTCATATTTGACAAACATCCCTTTCAGATGTGCTGAAACTGCACTGCCAGAGAATAAAGACTGATGAAACCTATCACTGTCCTTTGCCACCTTCAGATGGTCCCCTCCTGTCTGGAAATGCCCTTTCCTGCACCTGGGTCAGAGTGTGGTGTTAAGCTTTTGACAGTCTGCTAACGCTCGGTTAGACCCATGCAAACAGAGCCAGCCAACACTATGTGGGAGCACTGCTCAACAGGTATGGAAAGCAAACACAACTGTGTCATCTACTGAGTAAACAACCTGTTCATCACGTCTGGGCTATGAGACAGCACTAATGGCTACAGACAGCTCCAGCTGGTCCTCAGGAATCAGCTGATCAGATTCCTGCCTCTCAGCAAATGCCATTAGTAAGAATTTGTCACGTTGTGTTTGTCGAGTTAACAGCACCATCACTGCTGTGCATCCTTTTGTTTTGCTTTAACTCACATATGACACTTTGATTGTCATGGTATTTGGTGTTTTCAAGGAGATGCTGAGCACCTTCAGGTCCTGCTTTACAAAATGAGTGCTGCAGCCATCCAGGGGAACACAAAGGAGAAGGAGAAAGAAATCTATTGACTTTATGCAGAGGGAGTGCCATTATGGCTCAAAGTCAGTGTGTGGAATAAACCCTATAAAAGGATTACCCACTCAATGGTATTTTTAATTTTCCCACAGAAAAGAGGTGCTCAGAAGCACTCTAGCCCTGTCTAGACAGATCGACTGAATTACTCACAAGAAAATTACTCCTTTTGTAAGGGTCTCAGTAACAAACCGAGAAGTGTCAAGGGGGTGAGTAATTTGAAACAGTGTTTGTCACCCTTGGCCAGTCATTTTGCCACTCTGCCTTCCTTCTGTTTTAGAATGACGAATATGAAGAATGTGGTCACTTTGGCAGACACGAGTACTCAACAACACTGAGCTTTGCAGCAGTGCTCAGGAACAGAAGATTCCTCCAGCAGCCATGAAATGGGAATTTTTAGGGCTAAATCTAGTGGGGCATTGCCAGTTCCTCCTAGCTAAGAACCTGACTGAAAACCTTTTTGTTGGTTTTGGTTCTTTGTTTTGTTTTGGGTATTTTTTGGCAGCCCAGCATTGCACCTAAGGAAAAATAATGAATGCACATAAAGGGTCAAGCTTCCCTTTTACAAACCACCTGGCGTTTTGAGGCATTTCCAGCTGCAGAGTCTCATTTTCTGCCATTAGGATAAAAAACATATCCCATGGAAATCAAACGGCAGCAGAAACACTGGCTGATGAGCGTGTGTCCATATATTATTCCCTCTAGCTGTTTTTTCAGGAGTGCTGACCACTTGCATCTCCCAGAGTCACCTAAACTTGGGGGTCACTCAACCTCTATGGAAAACAGCTTTTAGGTGTTAGCTCTTCAGTAAAAGTACTCCAGATGAGTGAAGTCGTGCTTTACTTTAAAGGCCTGCTTATGAGAGCTGGTACAGGGCTAACAAAAATTACACCACCTTACAGACACTGCTGTAAGTGGTGATAAGCCAGTCTAGAGATAGTACTGAAAAGTAAAAGAAATCTCTACACATGAAAGCGATGACATTTTGTAGGCAGCTACTCATCATTTCTAAGTCCCCTATTCATAGATTTCATAGATGAAATGTTTCATAGATACAAACCAGGGATGCGATGAGAGGGCTTTGGAAGTGAAACATCTCACTACATCAATGAAGACAGTTCCACTAGTTTCAAGGGACACCTGTTCTTTCATGCCCAGAGGAGCTGGTCTTTAACCTTGGCATCTTTTGTTCCTTTTTTACCCTTTTTCTGTCCTCTGCTAAAAGCTGCACTTGCCTATTAGTAGCATACAACCTATCGACTGTAGATGAACAGATTCATGTGCTCTGTCTGTGAGGTTTCAAACCAGATAAGATTGCAGGTAACAGGCTCAGAGCACACAAAAGTCCACCATGCTCAAGATTTAAATGTATGCTAATTGCAAAGTACAAGGAAGAAACCTTTGATTGCAACACCTCCTAGACTCATTGCTTGTAGCCTCAGGAATAAGCACAGCATCTTCCCTACCAACAAAGAAAAGGGGAAATAACACAATGCTCTCCCCTGTTGTTGTTCTTCCTCTATTCGGTGTGAATTAACAGGCAATGAAGGCAATGGGATTTATTATTTCTTGCAATGATCTGGATTTCTTCCAGAGGATGAACACTGATATTCCCATCACAGCCATTTTCAGGACCTGAGTGAAACAACCCTCCAAATACCTTGATCACTCCCCTTTTTTTCAGGCAGGGCTTGCTCTCTATGAATAAACATGCAACTATTTCAGGAAATCATATCCTGGTTACTCCTTTGCCCTCCACCCCACATAGCCCCAAGAGCTTTGGTCCCATTCAGAAGGTGGCTAAGCCCTCATTCAAACACCAAGTGATACGTGAGTCCTCACAATTCCCCAGTGATGTTCGCATGTACTGAATTCCCTCTCTATGAGGTAGCAGTGAGTCCGTGGAGTCACCATAGTATACACGGGGAAGAGTGGGGAGATCTGCACTGCTTCTGGACACACAGTTGGGGTTCTTCTTACCAGTCTGTTTTATCTTTAGGCCAGCCATGTCCTCCCAGTCCACAGTAGCATCCGTAGCCAATATACGCCAAGGGAGACCGTCCTGTACCACACGATATAGCTCCTGCCAATTCAATGATTCCTCGGGTGTGCAGTGAATGGGATTTTCCCAGAGCACCTTTCCAAACTGCAAAGACAGGACATGGCTACACACAAGGATTGAAAACGCTTCACATGATTCTCCTAAGTCCTTAGTGGGGGATTTTTTTGTTTGGTTGGGTTGGTTGGGCCCTGGCAATCTCATTAGCCATGACTTTCAGCCTGCAAAGTAGACTGTGTGGGGCCTTATCTGGGGGCTGGATGCAGAAATACCCAAGCCAGCTATTTCTGCAGAGATTGCTCAGTTCAAGCAAGACTCCCTAGCTCTGGTGCGCTAGGGTGTGATTGCAGCTATATGATACCTGAGAGCAGTGTACCTGGTTTAACAGAACATGTAGCCCAAGCCTGGCTTTATAGTGCCTGTGCCAGCACCATGCAGAGCCAGCTGGGCTTCACTGTGCCCCAGAGATCCCAAACCTGGGACAGCTATGCTGTGGTCCCAAGTGGGATGTGGAACAGCAGAGGACAAGTGTGCAACCAGACCTAACCTGGGCTCTAAGCAAAAATAGAAGTTTCTGTGTTACCCACGGTGCCTTATATTATCCAGATTTCCCCTACTATTCTGGATGTTTTAACCCCTTCTCCATAGAAGTTTCTGTGTTACCCACAGTGCCTTATATTATCCAGGTTTCCCCTACTACTCTGGATGTTTTAACCCCTTCTCCAGATCACAAAAAGCTGACAGTACTATTAATTTCTGTAGGGTCAGCTACAAGTCCCTGAGCCTGTAAAGTACACTTTGTCCGGGACAGAGTGCCTACATAAGCCAAGATGTATGTGTAGCAGCTTTCTTTTGAGCATCTGGAGGTGCTGGCAACACTTACCTCTGCTTCCGTTATTACATTCCATCTAAGTCATACATCAGGTTGGCTGCATTAACTTTGACGAAGGGAGCTCTGTGTCCTGTGTCAGTGGCCCCCAAACTGGTTGGGGGGGTTTCGAGGTACAAGTCTTTCCAGCAGGGTTGTCATTCCACATGTTAATTTGCAACTCTCCAGAAATCACAGGCTCTACCTTGCAGTGACCCTTACAGAAACCAGGAGTGCCCTGCCCCAATGCTCAAACAGCTTTGATGCTCAGCTGCAAACGTTGGTGCTTATCATGTTAAGGATAGCAACAGACAAGAATATTTCTTGCCTGTGTCCACTGTGAAGGACCAAGAGCACTTCGCACTGCTCTATCGTGCATGGCAAAGTTACTCACCCCTAGTATTGAACCCCACAGACTGACTGCCTACCCCATCAGTTCATCCCACCCATGCACAGCCACCCCAACAAGAAAAGCCTGCTGGAATGGGGGGTACTTTGCAGCGCACTCAGACGGAGAGGGAGATGATGCTGGGAGCTGGGAACCCGCTACTGAAGTTTCTTTGCCTCCTGCGCGTTTGACCTCTTCAAAGTGCTGTGCAAACACAGACTAATTAATCCCCTAAACCACCCGAGGACGCAATACTATTTAAAACTGTTGCTTTCCTTTTAAAACCCAGCCTCTAATCCCCTTCCTTGGGCTTCACACCCAGGATCTCTTGGGCTATCTCACCCCTCTAGCCTGATTGAGGCACCAGCAAGGACAAGGAGGGTCTTTCCCCATGCAGAACAAGGCAGGGCTTTGCTCCTTCTCTACAGGCCAAGACCTTCAGAAAGGGGAGTGCTGCCCCACAGCATTTCCCATCCTGCGATTGGTGCCTCAGGCTGTGCTGGTATGGGTTTCACATAGCCTCCTTATGCTTCCCGGAGCATTCCTCAGGGATTAAATGCACATTCCTGAAAAAGTAACTGCGCTGCTCACCTAAACACTGCTTGAGTGTTCAGGTTTCATGCTAAAAACACATTAGACGGGTGTTATTCAAAACTAAGAGATGACCTATTTCCCTTGTCTAAACAGTGGGGCTCCAGAGTTAGAAAGGGGCCCAGCTCCCAGGTGCCCTAGGGGGAAATCACAAGCAGTGAGCTGCCCTGGATTTTGGGTTAAAATCACACGTTTTCAACCTGTTGCAGTTTGCAGACCCTCAAAGTGAAAACAAAAACTTCTCTGTAGGCATTCAGGCCTCCTGACAAGCAGTTTGCAGGTTTTTCAGCTGTCTGTTGCTGACCTCTTGGTCTGCTGGTCACTGGCTAAGGCTGGTGTAAGGTAACTGCAGCTCACCCAGAAGAAGAAAGACCTTTCTTCTTTTAGGGGTATCTCTGAGGATCAAGGAACTGTAATTACAGTGCAGAGCTACTCATGAAAGTGGAGAGAAAGCCCCAAAGGGAATTGAGTCAAAGAGACTTGGTTAGTGTGCTTAGGGCTGCACGCTCTGCAAGAGCTTGAAGTCACTCCAGCATCCAGGCAGCCTCTGATGTTCCCACTCTGTTCTTTGAAGGCTGGCTGGGCTCTGAGCTGATGTGTTGCTGCAGCTGAGAGGTCAACCCCAGCAAGTAAGCTTCAGTATTCAGGTGCATGGCTAATAACTTGTCCAAGAACTGAAACTGCTTTTTCTATGCTGGGCAGCTCAAGACAGAACAGCTGGGAAAGCCTTGAAAAGGTCTGCATCTCCCCAGCAGCCTGCATTTAGCCGTTAAGGAACATGCACAGTCATTAGTTATACTACTAACAGGGCACCTTAGCAGAGAACATACCTGCAGGGAGGGGAGCAGAGGTGGATCTGACAACTCACACATTCTATTTCCTGCTTAAACGGGCAGTCTTTGCTGCGGATTAAGTCAAGGTTTAGGTGTTTATTTCAGAACTGCACTGCAGGTATAACCTCAGTCCTGACAGCTTAGTGTAACATCGTCTCTGCGTATGAGGGCTTTGTGTTAGCAGACATTTATGGCCCTTTTTAACAGCCTTTTTAGAAATTATTTTAACTTCAGATAAATTTTAAACTGCGTACTCCATGGTCACTGATAGAACAAGAAGGTACTTCCAACTGCCCATGGCGGGGGGTGGAACTAGATGACCTCAAGGTCCTTTCCAACCCTAACTAGTCTATGATTTCTATGAAGAGACGGAGATACCAACAACTTTGTAGCAGGAAACTATTCAGAAGGAAAATGAGCTATGTTTATACAGCCCCAGCAACGCAGACCGCTAGCAAGGTGGGCAGGCGGCTCACTTACACAGCCCTTGCTTATAGAGCTGGAGAGAGTCGAGCAGTGCTTTGTTTTCCTCTTGGCCAACACACGGCTAGGTGCCCGCCGTGAGGCTGGCAAAGCTGACAGCAAGCGGAGGCACGGGAAGGGCGAGGGGCCGGGCGGTGGTACTCACCTGCCTGGAGCAGCAGCAGTGCCAGCAGCAGGCGGGAGCCCATGGGCAGGTCGCTGTCACGCTCCGGTGCGCCGGGGTTCAGCCGCTGGGCTGCCGAGCGAGCCGAGGTGCGGTTGTGCTTAGGCAGCCTCCCCAGCCCGCCGCCTGGCTTTATATACACATGGCTCTGCGCCCGTCTGCAGCGAAACACCCTCTTCTGCGAGGTCCCGAGCCCAGCACGGGTCCGGTGTGTGCCGTAGCGGGCTCCCTGCTGCGCGGGGAGGGCGAGGGCTGGCTCTGTTTGCCTGGCATCGCCTTTGGGAGGGAGGGAGGGAGGGAAGGGCTGCTGGAAGGGCATTAGGCTGGCGGTCCCTGGGACAGCCTGAGACACCCAGGCACTAAGCTGGGCTCCTTCAAGCTGTTTGCTTCCAGACCCTGGTTAACCTCTGAGTAGCTGCGGAAAAGGGAGGCCTGAGGCTGGGCTTTCTGTGGCTTGTGGCATCCCTCTGGCAAGGATTTTCTCTTTTTATAAGCACTCTTTCCAGGGTAATTTTGATTTTGTTTTTACATTATTTTATTTTAAGCCTGATTATTTTTCACATTTAAAAAAGGAGAGACAAAACTATAAAAATCCAACAGAAAGAATACTGTTAGGTGCAAGTGCCTAATTATAAACTGACCAACAGAGCTAATTCTGTGCCACTCCTGAGAGAAAAATACCTTTTTGGCCTGTTGCTGCAGCTGACTGACACCAACTGATTTCTTGAGGACTCATCAGTATGTGGGTCCCAGCTTCTTCCCCACAGAAGCTGGGGACAGTCCCATGGGGCAGCTGTGCTCTGGTCAGCCAGATCGGCAAGGTGGCCTCCCTCTCTCACAGCCTCTGCTTGCATGGGGCAGCAGGCAAGGTGAGCAGCAGGGATGGCCACAGCTCTTTTGCTTTTGGGGTTGAAACAAATTCCAGCCCTCCAAGGCCTTAAATCGCCTGCCTTGCTTGGTATAGCAGCCATCTGTGGATGGGGTCTAAGCATCTGCCCCTCCCAGGTGTGGGTATTATGGGCTGGGAGAGGAAGGGAGGAAGGCTGCTTGCCCCTTCCTCTCCCAATACAGGACTACCTCAGCAGCACCCCTTGCCCGAGTTCCCCATGGTAAAGCCATGCCTGCCTTCTTAACGGCATGGTTTTAAATATTTGCTTGCTAAATATTGGTACTTGAACCAAAGGTCAGCAGCAAGGCATTCACTGGGATGCTTTCTGCCGGGGCCAGCCCTGCTGCAGCAGCTGGCAGTCTTTGCTGAGCAGGATTTCAAGATCCAGTGTAGATCAAGTGATACAGGGCAAAAGGGACAGCAGAATCCCTGCCCGCCACCGTGATGGGCTGTGTGCTGGCAGCAGCGAGGGAGGAGGGCAAGGGGAGCACCCCGCTGCTCTGTGCCCCAGCTCCTCCACTGCACCGGAGGGCCCAGGAGGAGCTGTGCAGCTCACACCTCCTGCCCTCAGAAACTCCCTTCAGTAATCATGTATTTACTCAGGTAATAAAGCCAAATCCTATGTATGTGAGCTGTTGCTGACTAATATTTAACCTGAAGAATGTATGTTTGTGGAAGGAGGATGCTGGAGGGTGGGTGTGCTGTATTTGAGGGCCCTGCGGATACAGGTCCTCAAAATGGGAAGTGCAAAGAAGGCAGGCTTTGAAGCAACGTGTGGGATCTGTGTGAGCAAGACACCCTGTTAGAGCACGCTCTATCCCTGACAGATGCCTGACAGGCCCTGCTCAGTGGGGACCAAGTGGGAGTTTTGAGCAACCTCTGCAGATGCTCCACAGGATTCCTGGGATCCCCAAGGCCAGAGAGCTGCCTCCAAGTGCCCAGCTGAGGTGAGACTGACTGGCCTGTAGTTCCCTGGGTCTTCCTTTTTATTCCTCAAATACGATGGGTAATAGTTTGGCCACTTCATCTGCGAGTTCCCTCAGGACCTGCAGATGCATCTCATTGGGTCCATGGACTTGTGCACCATCAGGCTCTTTAGGCGGTCTCAAACCTGATCTTCTCCTACAGCAGGCAGTTCTTCATTCTCCCAGTCCCTGCCTTTGCCTTCTGCAATTTGGGTGGTGTGGCTGGAGCACTTGCCAGGGAAGACTGAGGCAAAAAAGTTGTTGAGGACCTTGGCCTTCTCCATATCCCCGGTAACCAGGTCTCCTGTTTCCTTCCAGAGAGGGCCCACATTTTCCCTACTCTTCCTTTTATTGCTGACCTATCTATAGCAGTTTTTCCTGTGCCCCTGACATCCCTGGCCAGATTTAATTGTACCAGGGCTTTAGCTCTCCTAACCTTATCCCTGGCTCCTTGGATAATTTCTCGGTACTCCTCCCAGGCTACCTGTCCTTTCTCCCACCCTCTGTAGGCTTCCCTTTTGTGTCTGAGTTTGTCCAGGAGCTCCTTGTTCACCCATGCAGGACTCCTGGTGTTTTGCCCAGCTTCCTCTTTGTTGGGATGCATCGTTCCTGAGCTTGCAGGAGATGTTTAAATATTATCCAACTTTCTTGGGCTCCCATTCCCCTAGGGCTTTATCCCATGGTGCCTTACCAAGCAGATCCCTGAAGAGGCAGAACACTCTCCTGAAGTCCAGGGCAGTGAGTTTGCTGTGTGCTCTCCTTGCCGTACCAAGGATCTTGAACACCACCATTTCATGGTCACTTCAACCAAGTCTGTCCTTGAGCTTCACATCCCCCACCAGCCCCTAACTGTTGGTGAGAACAAGGTCCAGCAGAGCATCTCTCCTTGTTGGTTCCTCTATTGCTTGGAAAAGAAGGTTATCATCAATGCTTTGCTTGTGCCCTGCCCTCCAACAAACATGGGGCTGGTTGAAGTCTCCCAAGAGGACTAGGGCTTGTGAAGGTGAGGCTACTCCTATCTGTCTGTAGAGGGCCTCATCCGCTCAGTCTTCCTTGTCCGGTGGCCTGTAGCAGACCCCCCACTATAATGTCACTGTCCCTGCACTCCCTTTAATCCTGACCCATAAACTCTCAATAGTTTCTTCATCCCTCCCCAGGCTGAGCTCCATGCTATTATGCCCTTTCTCACAGCCCCCCAAATAACAGATGAGGGTTTTGTCCCCCATTCAGCAGTAAATACAGAATAAATACAGACTCTTCTGATAGCCAAATGTACCTGCAGTGTTTGAAGAAGACTTCTGCAGACTATTAGGGAGTGATGCCCAAATTCAACATTAAAACAGAAAGCAGAATTAATAAATTGCTCCCTTATAATTGTTTCACACTGTTGATTGCTGTTGCCTAAGTTGATCAGCATATTTATTAAATAGTATTAAGTCCTAATCATGGTCTTACTATGTCTTGACAAGTGCACTGGGATCATGAGAACGTTTTTTTACTGTTTGTGGAAACAAAATGAATTCCCTGACCCCATCCCTTCACGTGCATTTTGCATGTTACCTGTTTGAGCTCCACTTCTCACTAGCAGCAAGAGGGTGTTGGGTATTGATTGTCTCAGCAAACTCAGCTGTACAGACTACTGGCTGTCCAATCTGAAAATGCATGCACAATAAACTTTAAGTCCCCGGTCACTTGCATGTGGCAATCAATCCGTATGGTTGAAAGGCTATTTCTTCAGATGAACTAGCTCTGCTGGAAACAGAGCTCCCTTGGTTTGCACCACCAAAGCAGTGGGCCCTTAGGGACGATGCTGCTTCATGCTATCGGGTTTCTTGTTGTTTCCACTATTAGGGGAAAGTCTTCAGCTGAAGGGGAGAAGACATTATAAGGACTCCACAGTTCTGAACAATGTTTACCCAACAAGGTTCAAGGTGTCAGAGCTTCTTACAGAAGCCAGGCTGTCCCTCATCCAACAGAGGCTGTACTTTCTCAAATGAAATACCAGTCATCTCTGTGGATGTCACCACCAACTGCAAGAAGAGGTCTCTGCTCAGCACCAGCAGATTCAATGATGCTTTTGCTGCCCAGGCCAAGGGTTTTTCCTATTAGGGGCAAAGGAAGCTTTCTTGCAACACCACGGATGTTAAAGGTTCCCTAAAAGAACTGCCTGCCCTCCCTGGCTGGTTTATAGGAGCATGACTAAAGAGACTCAAGGACACAGAATGACAATTTGGGTACTGTGAGGTAGAAGGGAAAGAATCGGTTCTAAAGGGAAACAAACTCCACATTACCTGTGCAGAGGAAAGCAAACAAACAAACAAAATCTAACACTGCCACATGATTTGTGGTGACATAACCAGTTACACATGCATTGGAGGTAACACAGCAACATAACAAGTAAACAGACTTATTTAATATCATCTTGCATGCAAGGTCTGTCCGTGTGTTAGTATTGACACAGCCTAGCCAAACTTGATGAGAAAAGACAACAGTATTATTTCTGTCTTCTAACTCAGCCCCGGAAGGAAAGTTCTAAAGGTGGCTCCTGGTTTGAGGGTGTCTGGTATCTATCTATCTCCTTCAGCTTCACTGCTGCTCTGTGCCAAGCCTCATCTTGATGGTGGCACTTCTGAAGGGTGAAGCTAAAGAACCAGCCTGCAGCACTCTCTCAAAGCCAGTGCCTGCTTTGCCTACAGTCAGCCACACACACATATACCTCAGGTGATGAAGAAGTAAGGGCCACCTCTCTCAGGCTTTTGCTGTTGCAGTTTTCTCCCAGCACAGTTTCAAAGGTGCACATTGAGCACTGCCTATAGCAAAAGCCTACATACCTTACCAGCAGAGAACCCATACACAGCTGGCTTTCATTTTAGAGCTCTGGTGACATTTCCCATTTAAAAGAGAGGAAATATTACCAGAATTAAGGGATACCTAAACGGAACAGGCTGGATAAAGGAGTCTTATTCAAATACTGACACCACCTCAGGCGGTTTCGTTTAGGAGAACCACCAAGAGGTTGGTCTGCTTTATCTGATAGGAGGCCCAGGGAGCACAAACACACAGAGATGAATATACACTGTAATAGCCAAGATAAGATCCTGAAATGCTTGTGAGTTTCCTGAAAAGGAATGGCTAACATAAATGTCTGTGTCCATTTAACAGGAACCACTGTCAGAGACAAAGACCAGCTTATACCAATGTCACCAAGATTCCTGATACTCATCCAGACCCTGAAGCCCATTAAAATGCTTGTTCTGACGTGTCAGAGTTTTAAAGTCTGTTGTTTAAATTGATGGAAAATCCTTAACAGAGCAAAATTACACTTTTATTTCCTGGTTATGAAGGTAATGTAAACAGAGGTGTGTACATAGCTCCTCCTGGGAGACAGGAAGGGGCAGTCTGGGTGCAGGAGGCACACTACCGACCAGGAGCACACAGAATTCTTATTCCACCTTTGCAAGTACATTTCAATGTTGACAACTGTTGACCACCATCCTCACTCAGCTCTGCCAGTGCATTCCAGTGCTGCCTATCTATGTAGTCTGCTGTGCACCGTCTCCTCCAAATGCTGCCTGCTTTAGCTTCCCATTTCCCTATTGTTCAGAGTTCACTTTCCTTTTTTTCAGTTGCTAAATTTTTCTGTGCCTCTGCACTTGCCGCTGCACACCTCTCTCCTTCCATCTTTTGTCCCAACCTCGCACTCTCACCTACAACATCATAAATAGCTTGAAGACTCACACTGGTACTGTCTCAAGGTTCAGTTACCAACCCAGACAGAAGAGTGCTTTTTATTGAAGGCCTCCATTCATAACAACAGTTGTTCCTGTTTAGATCATGGAGCACTTGGGAGCTCTGAATCTTCCTTTAA